AGATAACGTGTAAGTATATGACATAACTCTGTAACGTCATTCTGGGTCGTTTGAGGTTTTTCTTTGACTGAAAAACCTTAGTGTCAGAAGATTTGGTGATTTCTAAGATGCGGTCGGCAGATGCAGCTAGCTCGTCTAAGGAGTTGTTGTGGACCGAGACCAGCACAGCTTGCACCTGTTGAGGAAGTTTGGATAAGAAAAGTAGTTTGAATAGGCCATCATCGGAGGTTTTTTGACCGATAACCTCTCTCATTCTTTGCAACATGTCTGTCGGAGAACCGTGTTGCAGTTCGATGTTATTAAAGAGTTGGTCTAACCTTTGTCGATCGGTTAGGTCTCCGCGCTTAAGGATAGATCGTTTCAGTGTTTTGTAGGGTTCAGAAACATCCCTTTTAAACGTACTAGGCGTCACGTACCTGTTGAATCCGCTCGGTAGTGCCTTGACTACTGCGAGGAATTGTGCATGTGTGTCGTTCACGCCGTGCTCGTAGAAGTCGGCTTCTGCGTAGCAGAACCAGGCTTCGATGTTGTCTAGCCTCAAGGGCGTAAGTTGGGACGAAGATTGAGACATAGTCTTTAGCTTAAGTACCTTGGGTGTCCGTTCATTCATGGTGAAATATCAAATACGAAAATGAACGAGGAGAAAAAATATCCAAAAACTCGAAAAAATATCACAATATATAAAAATTCAATAAAAGGCAATAGTATACAGAATTTCAATAGGGAAAACACTCACAGTTTACAATTTGGTGTATCAGATCACGTCGTGCTCACCAATGAAGATGCCAGAGGTATTCGAAGTTTGACAACGCTTTAACAACTAACACCTTCTAGTATGAATCGTACCCACCAAGTGAAATCAAAAGATAGAAGCGAGAAGGTTCGAAGATATATTTGATAGGCTATTAATATATCGAGGATCGTCTGACCTAATCTGGCTAGCGATTGCAGGGGTTGTTGAGCACGGCGTTCTCACTCGTGATCTGGTGCGGATGCATGATCGAGCGCCTTCAGCTAGGTGAGTCCATTAAAACTAATGTGGTCAGCATCCACTATCGAAAACTTACAGAGCTATTTATTTTGGGGATTTATTTACCGCTACACCGTAAATGTGCCTCATATTCTTCCACCATATTATTCACAACTCTTGAAAATGCTGAAGTTATTGCAAACTATCTTTTCTCGAGTGATTAGTATGGTAGGAGAGTGCAATTATTATTCAGGCCTCTCTCATTGTGTCGTCATAGATTTCTTTATGTACTGAAGTTGGTTATTTCTTTATCGTATATATATCTTGCATCCAAATATCTGGTTTTGAAGTATCGTGAACGGAATAACGGAGGCCGGTAGAAGACATCGAAGAGATTATGAAACAAATTACAGCATAAAAGTGAGAAACTAAGTTCATGAACGACAGCCTCGTCTTCATAAATGTCTAAAGATTGTAGCGCAAATTCATCGAATAAATATTCCAGTATTGCTCTTTTTCGAAAGAAAAGTAAGTCGCTAGTATCTACAAATCATAGGCTGGAGAAGAGGTTCATTTACCATTTGACGGTGGAAGAGATCAGCTTGAAAGGAATTGATTTGTAAATTGAGAATCAATTTTAATATGGTGTAAAAGCCACATTTAATACACGAAGCGAAGGATTAATAAGAAAAACGAATTTAATAAGGTCAAGATCACCTGATGATATTTAATAAGAGCATTACAGGTGTCAGAGTAGCTTACATTATTCGATCAATAGTCATCATTCACTAAAGTATACAACCAAATTTCAACTTCTTGTCTGAACACAGATGATCCGAAAAATCCAAGTTTATTTGATTCAGTCAAACTAAGTTCCTTTGTAAAGTGTATGAAATCTTTTTGAGCAAACAGTACTAAATTATTTCGAAACACCAACCACTTTTTCAATCCAAGAAGTCTTAGTGTAGAAGAAAAACAAACTGGGTCAGCAAATAGCAGGTAAATTTCTGAAAAACGGTAAGAATATTCTCAATAAAATAGGACGCAAATGTGGTTGCATGGAGTCAAATAATCGTTTTCGTTAGTCACTCAAAGAATAACGATGATCTACTACCTCACACCTTAACCTTAAACTCGGCCAAACTGGACCTTAATGACAGATCCCGTAGACCAAGCAGCAACAAAACTAAATAGCAAGGGTAACTGGAGTTCACTACTCAAAGCTTAATCAAAGAAGATTACGAAATGTGAAACCATGTTCACACGAGTCCAGGATGAAAGTTAAAATACAAATTAGAAAGGGAGAACAAGGGAATAAAAATTCTGTACAGAATTTCAGTGCTCTTTATCATCGCTTAATTTGCATAGTCTTGAATTGAAACCAAATCATTTCAAGACTCATCTGCCTAATCCACCATAACATGACGACCAGCTTATCGTTCTTCTTTAATGCACCTAGATAACAGATGGAATCTTATCATAAGTAGTTTATATTTAAATGTAAAAAATAAATCGTTATTATGTCCAAATTTTATTCATTCTCTAAGGAAGTGGCTTACACTGGGTCACGAAGTGTCAGATACATTAATTTTTCTACTCATTGGGATATTACAAAAATATATTAATTTATTTATAAAGATAATGTCAGTTACGATCAAATGAGTGGGTTGTTTGGAGAACTGCCCATGTTTCAGAAGACTGTCAAATGCCAGCTAGAAGTTGTTGGGACAGAATTTGACACCGTGTGATCATATATCGATTAACAACAGTTGACAGGTAGCTCAAAATAAATATTAGACAACCAGATATATGAATATTGTCATCAAAACAGCCAAACAAAAGTCTGAAACATCAATTGTTTATGAATTTGATGTAATTTTGTTATCTCTTTGAGTTAGTGCTTTCAGTAGTCTAACACTGACCAGCTATAACGAAATAATAGGTATTGATCAATCGGAATTTAATGAGGCCAACCAAATTTCAATTGTATCAATCAACTAACCTCGTTGCATTTAGCTTGATAGATAATTTCTTCACAGTTCATAGTTATTTCACTGATTTCAGAGTGTGTCTTACCTGTTTACCAATGGAAGATATACTTAATGATGAGATCCTAGTAGATTCAGTCAGACTGGGACAGTTGGCATCAGGTGTTGCGAGTATATCCATGTGAACCCTGCTGAACACTAGTTAAACAAAAAGATATACATCATTGTAATTTAATCCATTTAAGATCCTACTCTATCAATTTATCATCCCTGATTACCATATAGATTTAATTCTAATCTTACTACCTGCTTTTGTTGATAAGCTTAAGCACATCGTATCTTAAACTGAGCTGTCAGCTCACTTCTATTATATTTCCTACAGATTCTTTTGTACACACTATCTTTACCACTCCTTTAATAAATAGTATACCTTCGTCATAGAAACATACACACGGAAGAGCTGGACACACCAGATTATAGCAATATTCATGCAAAGTTCCCAGTAAGCTGTGCTTATGTATTCTTTGTTCCCAAGTCAATCGTTGGTTGATAACTAGGTAATAGCTATGTAGAATACTGAATTTATATTTGTCCTAAGATCTAATTAGATCATGGTGCGTTCAGTTAGATGGATAAAATCTAACATTAGCTTTTGGTGCATATGTATTATTTGTTAATAAAAAATTAAGTCAGCGACATATTGTGTGACTTCAGACATTAAAGTTTATTGAAACTAACGGAAAAAGCATAAAGTAATATATGCCTATAAGACTGCTTGTTTCGAGGAGTGACGTGATCCTCCAGTTATATTTCACCATCTAAATGCATAGAAATTAATCAGCTCATCTTAAAATACTTGAGTATTCGGTTTAGAAAGTGGTTAAATGTCATTGTATTATGATTCTTCAACTGATAATTTCCATTGTCGATATAGTATTTAGTCCTTTTGTTTGACGGCTCTAGTTAGAGTAGCTCCGCTCCAAACCTGTGAAACCTGAACCCTATGAGCTTCGAATACTCGGAGCCTAATTGTTCGATCACAGTTATCCACAAAGAAATATTTAGATTCCGTGACAGCACCATGTGAATCATTTTCAGAGTTAGGCTTTGTTTTTAGAGATTGTGATGATCACTCTATTAAAATTATTGTCTTTTAGAATACCCACTTCAGTGATAGGAAAATGTCTTACGAATATCTTCTTCTCCAATTACTTATCATAACTAAGTGTGAATAAAGTAAATGGAAAGACATTCATTTTACTATGGAGTGGAAGACAGTTGTATTTGACTTGGACTTGTTGGTTTATCAAAAACATCTGAGTGAAGTTGCAAAGATAATAATACTCAATGAATGTAGACTTCGCCAGATGTGTTCCAAAAAGGAGACACTAGGCATTCTGCTATGATTTTCTACTGAATTCTACCTTTAACTGTGAGAGACATTTTAATGGAAGAAATGTATTCTGATTGTTCTCATAACTGAGCTATACCTCATAAATACTATTCTTTTCAAATTGTTGGATGGCTATATAGTTGAAGATTTCGTATTGCTTAATTTATATTTTGAAAAATAAAGAAATGGTTCTCTCATGAACTCCACTCGTGAAGTTTAAATTATATTAACTATCACCAAATCATAGTATGAACGTACAGACGTTTCCCAAGAAGTAAAAACCTGTTAAATAGAAGGAATATAATGATTGATAATATATTGAGGTTCATACGGAATTTCAATCTAATCGTATTTAATTTTACTTAAAACGAATAAAATACCTTAAATTTTATATTTTACTGATTACTATATTTTATTTACTGCACTGTTCTAAGCTTACTAGACAACTTAAAATATGCAATACCAGCCAAACGATTGATTAAAATACTGACATTAATTTTTGAGCTCTTATGTTTGACTACAATAAAATAATGTTACTTTTCTTTTTAGAGAAAACTAGTAACCCAGTGTTTTCCTTTAAATAAAATAATCATCCAATGAAATACTATATCAAAGTATACACAATGTAATGATATAAGTATTTATACAATTAAACTTCGAATCCATAGATTGTTCTCATTGTTTGTAAATCATCTCTACTAAGTGAATAAATATGTCGAAATAAACAGGGAAAAGATATTTGATTTCTAATACATTCTGATGAATTTGTATTAGATTGTAATGTTGATAGTTCCAGTTTGTATTTATGTCTTTGCCTTTCGATTGCTAACTGTTTCTCTGATTCCGGTTGAAAATGGAATACCTACAAATTAATTTTTTTTTTGAAAGAAAAATAATACTCAATTAATCAGTAAACGATTCATATGAAATATATGAGACAAATTTATGGTATGGTATATTTCCAAGATATATATTGGTGTAAAAGGAGGTGACAATAAATTGATAACGTTGTGGACTTATAGAAAGTAAGTTGTCTGCATCGTATGTTCTGTAAAGTGATTCGCTATAATGGTTAAAAAAGTTCGGTAAATATCCATTATTGAAAAAAGGAGATCATGGTATCGATCAACGATATTGTTATACTTCCTATGTATGTTGGAAATCACTGGTTTAAGACAATAGGTATCATGAATCAACACTAATGCAAATGTTTTCAGATTCAATTCTCGTATATTTATTTTATCGTTTACCATTCTACAGCAAAACCATCTCTGACATATATTGATTTTTGTTTTCAGTCCTTCGATTTTGTATTGTTGTTTATCCCATTGTTTGTCTGTAGATAATAAAAGGCCAAATATAATAATTTATTACAATGCAAAAAATGTTTAACTGTTCTGTTTTCTGCCGTGTTATTTATGCTTTTACTCCAAATTAAACTAATGAGAAACTTAATAACTTCGTTGACGGAACTGATCTCCAGTCGAAATGTTATCTTTCAAATGCCTTTGTTTACATCTTCATGTATTACAAAGGTGCGTGTGTGTGTATAGTTATTCGATCCAATAGCATAACTACCTCATTTATCTCCATCCACCTTCTTCTAGTGTTGCTCCATCTGTAATATTATAGCAATGGCATGAAACACCATATGAATGTATTTTGCTAAAATATGAACAAAGCTGATAAATGGGTCCAACGTATTTGTCATTTTAAACAAACTCTAAAGACACTCACGTTATTGCTTCTATATGATAATGCTTCTTATTAAAAAAACAATTCTAGGACGGTATTTAATTTGTACATGTAATTTTTATACCGTAAAACAAAATACACGTATAGCAACTCAGATGGGAAACTTTAGATCGCGTTAACTTTTAATTTACCGGTAGTAATCTGCCAAATTTTGAGGATACAGTTACCTAAATAATATAAAAATTTGACTTACATAAGAATACCTTTCAACGGCGTTTTCTTACTAACAAATGTACTTTGTTTAAGTATTAACAGACCATGCTGATACGAAAATCCATTTCCAAGAGGATGTTTTGGAGATTTACATAGAACGCTGAGTTTCAAAGTAAGGATAAGACGTTTATCAAGTGCTCTTTATGTAATACTACTTTAAAACAATTTGGAGTCTAAACACCTAAAAAATGCTCTCAGTCAACAAGGTTAAACACTGGGCAAACGCAAACAGATTCTAATCTATCAAAATACCACACTGTAAGTGAGAAATGTAAGCTCGTGTGGCAGTGCTACAGTGAGTAAACAAATGCTTCACATGACCATGGTCGGCACTCAAAGATCCCTGTTCAGATTCTTCCATTAACCTATACCTGCGGATGAGTAGTATACATCGGTATTTGGCTGTAGATAACAAAGTTTTCTGTGAAATGGTAGTCTTCGTTCTTTATAGAGTAGGTTAATCAAGCGTGTGATCATTAACTGATTCAGTCAGCAGACGACAACAAAATCTGTGGTTTGATGACATTTAACTATTTGTTGACATTGTCGATCTGGTCTCTAAATTCAATGATGAACATATAATTAATAAGTCTGATATTAAATGTTTTCTAATTATTTATTGTAACTAACAGTAAGTTTAAATATATATCAATAACATGTATTCACTTTTATGTAGTTACTATTCGTTTATGATTTTAGATTATTTACGGAATCGGGAGGAAGCCATGTTCGAATTGTGTGATTTCAATTACATTTCTCCTAAGATGATACAATCAAACTGCTGATAGTTTCAGTCATAGTTACCTGACAAATCTATCATCCTTATCATAAATACGGTCCAGTTAAATCTAATCCATTAGTTATAATTAAAATGACTCAAGTATTAATTACTTAATCATCATTATATTAAACATTGGTGATAAATGTTGTGTCCCCATAAGAATAAGGAGTGGTAATTTTTTGAGATCTATTTATGGACCAATACTGTACGTATATTTTTTTCGTATAATTGTTAATTAACTAGACTATTCATATTCATGTCTCTCTTATCATAAGCTTTATTTTAACCTATGAACTGTTATTATACAATTTTTCATTCTTGAATTATTAATCACTACCTCCCACATTCACAGCCATATTTGGCCAAATCTTGTACAAATGTCATTTTCTATTTTATGGTACGTTGTGGTCTGTTTGATTGGTATGTAAATCAAGTACGTTTGAAATACATGATTCATATCGCAGAGGCTCGGATTGATGTTCTGGTCTTAACTGGCTGGGCTAGGCGGGAAGCAGGACTAATCAGAGCTCTAGGCTGCTCGCACCTGTTTTAAGCGTCATTGATCCGATCGATAATTCACTGCTTTCTAATCGGCGGTCACAAGTTATAACAATAAACCAGTACCGTTAATTAAATTTGGATTTCCTTTATTATCAAAACAATAGTTAATTCAAACGGAATATTTTAAAGAAAAACAATAAAAAAATAATGGTAACTAGGAGAACTTAGTTAAAAGACTATGAAGAGTGAGAAATAGACGATATTTCAACATTCACATAATAAAGCTTAATATCAGAATGGGTTTTTGTGGATATTTTAGTAATTTTAACAGTTGAGATCATGTTTCAGTTGAAGCTAGACCACCATGGAAACATTGGACACTCGTTTTGTCATAATATTGGACTCCTCACCAGAGAGCACTCACGATCCCGCTTTGCGAGATTCAAACTCAGGGACTATTGGTCTCGCGCGCGAATGCTTAACTGTTAGACCACTGAGCTGACATCAAACGATATTAATGTCTAACTTCAACTAATCCACATAATTGAGCGCACTGCCGAGGAGTCCCATACTATGACAAAACAGCCGTCCAGTGTTTCCAGGTTTTTCATGGTGGTCCAGCTTCAAGTGACTCATGATTTCAACCTTAACTTTGAATTAATCGGTCTACATAAATTCAAAAGACATAATCAATGTAATACGTCAATTTACAGATAAAAACAAAAAAAGATTTATTCGACAATAAGTTCCCTTTTTGACCGATAGAGTCTAATCTGTGTCTGGTATAAACAGGTATCTACCTCAGACAACGGATGAATGGTTAAGCAAGATCACAGATCAATTGAAGTTAGACATTAACATAATTGGATGCCGGTTCTGTTGTCCAAATGTTGAGCATTCAGAAGCAAGAACGAAGGTCCTGGATTCAAGTTCCCTATGCAGGATCGTGAATGAGTAACCTCATACTAGAACGAAACATCCATTAAGTGCTTTCAGGTTTCCAATGGTGGTCTAACTCAGATCAACTCATGAGTTCAACTTAAAATCCGTTAAAAAACAAAAAAAAATCTAATCGATAATACAGTCACAACTTGACAAATTATTAAATTTCAATAGTTAGAATCATGAATCATTTGAAGCTAGACCACCATGAAAAACCTGAAATTACCGAAAGGCCCTTTCATCCTAGTATAGGATTCCTCAGCAGTCAGCATCCACGATCCCGCTCCCTGTTATATCCTAGTGAAGATTAAATTACAGGTAACTCCCGAGGACTATTGATGAACTAACATTCCATCGATATTCTTATTGTATAATTATTCAATAATTATAATATATATATATTTATATTCCCCTTATTATAAGCTTTATTTTGATCTAGAATTTATTATTATACGATTTACTGTCCCTAAATTATGCTCAGTTTACTAACTATTGCTTACCACGTTCACAGCCACTTTTTGTCATTATTCTTTACAAATTTTGTTTCCTATTTTATGGTGCGTTGCGGTCTGTTTGTTTGATATATAAACACAGTATGTTTGAAATATATGATTCGCATATTGGAAGCTGGTATTTGGTCTTCTGGACCCAAGTGAACGGGATAGGTGGACATAGGACCAAATAAGGATGCTAGACTGCCCATACCGAGCGAACGTCATTGATCTGACACAGTGCTAAGATTGTATAAGTCGTATTTTGATTGGTGAATAGATCACATGCTAAAAGCCGGACATAAAATCATAACACCCTCCTCGTTGTCGAGATTCGAACCCTAGACCTATCAGTCTCATGCGCAAGCGCTTAACCATCAATTTCAAACCATCATTTATACTTACTATTGAATTACTAATTAATTTATCCAATTCTGAAAAGAATTCTATTGATTGTTGATGAATTTTTTCATTGATTCCTGATTCTATTGATTCTATTTTACATATACAATATTCAAAATTGTGTTTATTATTGATGAAAATATTATTACCACTGATAAATTGATTTTTATAAATATTATTATTAGTTTTAGACAATTTATTAAATAATCTTCGAAATATTGATTTTAATATTGAATGAGATTTGAATGGTTTCTGTTTCATTTGTACCGTATTATAAGTAGTATCTTTATTTAATTTCATAACAATACAATGTGTATGATAGAATTTATCATTAAGATTTTTATGAATTTGTTTAATATAACATTGAATAAGATCAGAATTTATTAAAGATGTATGAATGATATTGAAATGATCAAATTTATCCGGTATTACTATATAACCAATCCATAATTGTTTAAATGTAATTGGTTGACATAGCATTAATGTAATTGAGTCAAATGAATTAGGTAATTCATAATTTCTATTAGCTATAGCAATTAAATAACCCCATCCAATATGATGCCATAAATAACTTAATTCAATTAAATTAATATTTGGTATTTGATGATTATTACCCATATAACGTACAGATAAATTGACTGGATATTCACAAACAATAACATATGTTGACTGTGATTGATACATTTGTTTTAAACTATGAATATTTGTTTGTAATGGAATTGTATTGAATGATGAATAATTCAATTTAGATAATGAATATGTTTGATGTTCTAGATGAATTTGTTGATTTGAAGGTATTAAATTTTGTAAAGAATGATATTTTTTATAAACATTTCCTGTATATAAAGTTTTCGATGTATTATTCGATGAAATTTGTCCATCAACTTGATCATTGATAGGAATATGATTTAAGTGACCTTGTGAATAACCTTCATCAGACATTATATTAGTATATGAAAGATTGTTTACATTGTTTTTAACTAAGTTAGATATATTAGGAATAGAATGATGATATGGATTGTGAAATACTGTTATATTTCTATGATTTTCTTTCATTATAAACTGTGTTTTATCAATTGTACATTGTAATTGTGACTGTTTATGATTGGCGTTGTTGTTACTAATACATTTTGAACTGTTCATTAATTCATTCGGATTAGTTGAAATCATAAATTTGTTGTATGTTTTTGTTTTATTGAAAAATCAGGTGATAAGTTTTTTAATAATTGAATTGGGTGTTTCATTTCAATTTGATTATGTGAATTCATGTTTGAGAAATGACATTTATGATTTTAATTTACAGTCATACATTTATATGATACATCATTAATTGAATTTACAAACTTAGGATCTATACATTGAGTGTATTTCTATGTGTTTAAGTGTGTACGTGTGTGTGTGTGTGCATGAGTACGTATGTACGTGTGGACGAGGGTAGGCGAGAAGTTTTACTTTTTGTTCAGAAATGATCATAATCACGTACCACTTTTTTTATAAACTGATTTTTCTAGTCACTATGGTCTATTACTTTTATTGTACGACAGATACAATTAGATTATTTCATTGATTTTGATTGACATGTAATATATCATGTAAGTATATAAGGGTATTTTTGCAAAAACAAATTAGATAAAGATAAAATACTGCAATCAAAGTTGTCTTAATTCTATTGACATCACAACTATTATCTAATAACTATTGATTTTTGTGAGAGAAAAAGATTACTCAATAAGTTAGTTATTATTTTTTATTATTTACGACCTATCACTTAGTTTTACATACCATTTATTAGCATAGTGATATGACAGTAAGATAACCGGATTATGTCACATTTATAATATTAATACTTGATGTATAATAAATACTAAACTTAAGCCATAATACAAAAATATTAAAGATGTTCTATAGATACATAGGTGATAGTAAATTAGTTTTCATTAGAAATTCGCATTACAATTAGAGAATAGTTATTATTAACTATGAAGTACTAAACAGCTATTCTGTTCCAGTTAATTTAAGTGTCCTAAAAATTATTTACTTAGAAACGATCTGGGATGAAGACAGTTTTCTGAGATTTTGATAAGATGATTTTTTCGATTGTTCAAAGCAATAAAGAGAATGCTAGTCATAGATGAACGCTATGATTTAATGTGGTTAAATGATGGCTACTCACCAGGTTATATTATTGACTTAAGCCTTTGATCCATTAGAAATCAAAGATAAGATCACTAGCTGGATGAATTTTTTTTCATGTAACAAAATAACATGCTTTTGTACAAAATCTTAACAGAAAATAACCATGATAAAATGTCATAAGCGATTGGACAAAATTAGCTTGTAAGTCATGCATTCTTCAATCGATTGAAGCCTGACTGTTAGGCCTAATCTCCGGACATCATATCACGATCAAAACTAGTAATACTGGAGTACTTAATGTTATCTCTCTTTAAAAAAGATCTATTGATGTCCTTGTGAAATCTTTGATTTGTGAAGTCAATCAAGTTGGGAGCAAGATCGTAATTTGTTATTGGTATTTGTGGTGTGTGTGCTACTTATATTGACATAAGTAATATATGACATTAGTCGTGAACAGAAGGTCTGGCAGCAGACGGACAAGAGGATCGAACAATAAAGAATAGAAACAGGATGCAATTTGTATGAAAATGCAAGAACAATGAAGTCTGAGTCATTTTTAGATAATTGATGGACATTTTGCAAATTAAGCATTTACTTTATGATTGTTAGATTTTATTAACAAGTCCAGTAATTTCGTTTTAAATACATTCCATTCTCCTCACCCGTGTTCTGTTCACTACATTGCATAAACCAGTAGTTTCAAGGTATCTTACTACCTACACAGTACGAACAAGGTAGTTTTTAAGAAAGATAAGTCAGTGGTAGATTTAGCAATAATATAGTTGGTCATTTACTTCCTACACAGAAGTCAACCATTTAAGGATATCATATGAAGCATCTATCTGGTCAAACTAGGTTTTTCTGAATGACGAGTAATAGTCGTCGGAGAAAAAATTCATATTCTTAAACTAACCTTCCTAAATTTCTCCAAGTTTCCATTAAAATGAATACGATACCCTTTATCGGAGCCTTAAAAATTATATTTTTCATATAATAAATTTAATGACATGGTTAATATTCATTGTGAACTTGTGAAGAATTGTTGAATAATTATGAAAAGTTATCCAGGTCCGTTTTATCATAAAACTAATTAAACTAAAGATGTAAAAGATATAACTGCCTTGATGGATTTACGCTGAAGTGCTTTTTCTGCTGTTAATATTACCATTTTTCCTTTTTATTGATGATTATCTCGTTTTAATGTTGTAAGTGAAATTTTGACCAAGCAGCTAACATATCAGGTGTATTTTTTTAAAATCATAAGTGTTACTTTCCCACATTACCTACGTAACCTTTGTAACTATTCAAATATACTCTTTCATCTCGACAAATAGTTTTATATCTTATTATAGTGTTATTCAATAAAAGTCTCAAGTACAATCACTCAGACTAACAACTAGTCAACCATAGAACATCCCATAATTTTTACTATGACATTATAAGATGAAGCATGTTTTTATGTTATTTCGAACAAAGTCATCTAGTTACCTCAGTGTTTGTTTCATAGTTTGTATAGTATTCACAATATGAGTAAAGAGTTAACATGCGGTTTTTTAAAAAAAACAAATATATTTATGATATAATTGGAAAATAAAACAGTTAAGTATCAAATAGTGATTAAATTTCATAAGCTGAAATATCACAGTATTAATTTAAATCTATTTGTTTATTTACTAAGTGTTACACTTCTCAAAATAATAAACCTTTCATTTAGCGCTAACACATAGTAACTAAGCAACAACAAAAAAGAAAGAAAAATAAACAGTATACAATTAGATTGTCAAATTTTATATAAAATACTACAGATCTAATTTTAAATAAACAAAATGGATTCATTATATATTTTATAATGATCCAATTAAACTTTACATAGAAACATCTATATTAATTATCATTAATGAACCAATGTATCCATGCAAAAAATACAAAAAGTAACATATATATATATATATATATATATGTAACAAAATTAAAACAAACAAAATAATGATAATTCAACATTCATGATTATAATCTTCAACATTCAAAACAAAAGTGTGAAACGTTCTAGGAAACAAAATATATATTAGAGAGGAGAAAAGAAAACATAATGAAAACCCCCCTTATTCTATTGAGTTGTACTTTAAGTTTCTGGATCATAGTTATTAAAGATATCATAATAAATAAATAAGATTGATATATTACTACTTTTTATGAGCGTCTTTTGTTGTTGTTGTTGTTGTTGGGAAATTCACAACATTTTCAATCTTATCAACAATGGTATCTGTTTAACAAAATGTTTAAGCCAATTGATTGGTTTAAACAAATTACTATAAAATGTATAGGTAAATAAGTAATGAATGACTATCAAAAACAAGACAATAAACAAATCGGTAGAAAGATTTTAGGCTAGAAAAAGTTTTGGTATAAAAAACAATACCATACGTATTTGTTTACTATTCTAGAACACGGTAGAAGCAAAAGCAAACAAAAATGGTAAAGAGAATTCTTGATGAAACTGTTTTTAATCCCTGAGGTCATTAGAGATTGTTCCTGTCTGTTAGATTACCTTCTTTTCCGCATCAATTTTAATCATTTTTTATAATTGATCAGTCTATAATTTATAATTAGAAATGACCGAAATAAGATATTAACAGCTGTTGTAAGAAAAAAAAGATCAAAAGAGAATGAGTTGTTTAATTTAAAGTTCACAATGTAAACATACATATCATACACATGTATTCCTGATAGTAACATTATGAATTCTATGAGTTTCTGTCAGAATATAATAATTTTAAAAGGATAGAACATTACTGACTATATTTTTGAGTTGATAGTTTTTTGCTAGTGGCCAATTGTTGAATTTAGAATATGGATTTCGTAATCTAATCAAACATCTATCAAGGAAGGGTCTATATATAATCACAGAGTCTAATCACATTAAGTCTACCACACTTAACTTTAAAATCATAAATAACGGTTATTTAATGAATTAAGTTTTCCTGCAGACATAACTATCTGATATCATAAGCCAATCGGAATTGGCCGAATAAGAAGTTCAGTCGATGGCAATCAGGAGTGTCCTGAAGGACAAATGCATTTTATTGTCTATGAAGTGGACTAATTCCCTAAGGTATAGAGTTGTAAATGTATAAATTTGTGCACTTTACTCGACAGTCCAACATACGTTTTCAACCAATCTTGTCTTCGCGCTCAACTAGTCAGCCGGGGGAGGAGTAGCGGACAGCACGTCGTGCATCACCATCAGATTTCGGACACCGCCCATCATAATATTATCATAGTTTCGTCAGAAAAATGTTTAATATATCACTGTAAGCGTTACGATAAAATCAATCTCGGGTGTTGTTATATATAGGAAACGATGGAGCAATTAAAAACGATCCAATCCAAAGTACAAGTGAGAAGAAATATATGAAAACATTTCACATTTGGAATGAATATAGTTCATTCATAAGTTTCCTAGTAAGAAATTTAATTTAGATTTTAAGTCAATAAAGGAGCTATGGATGTATAAAATCAAAACGGTAAAACTTTAGAAAACAAAAAAAATAATATTTTGTTAATTTATTGATACAATACAATAAAACAAAATTTTGTTATATATGAAAGAAATACTTACCTTAACTAATATGCCAAGTTGATCTTAATGAGTTAGTATAAGGACGACTATACACATTACGATGTTTTAAATGTGGTTCATGTAGATTATAATGATTCATTTTTGACGGGACTGTACCAGATGTTGTTGTCATTACTGGGATTGAGGACGATAATAATGAATCGGTCGTTGGTGCTACTGATATTGTTAGTGGTACAGTATAGTCTACTTGTCTTTGGAGGTTTATTGATGGTCGAAACGAATCAGATTTCAATTGATCTAATGTATCTCTGTAATACAAAAGACATTAGCAGAATATTAAGATCTAATGGATTGTTGTGACAGAAGTCAATCATATGAGGTATACTTTCAAGAACTATTTTGACTAGTATTTTTAGATGCGTGGGTATTATTTATCTCTACCTTTACAATAAGT